TACGACAACATAGATGGCATTTCTGTCCCTGATTTGAGTGTCATTGTTCTGAACCTCCAACTGAGATAAGCTGTGGCTGGAAATAAGGGAAGTCAGAGAACAGTCATATGTCAGCAAGTGGTCCTATGTATTTCTTGTTCTCTGGCTTCACCGAAATCAGCATAGATGGAGGTACCAATTGGGAGCCTTATCTCAGCTGCCTGCATTAATGTTCATAATACTTTTACCAACTTTCTTTGTAACATAAATGATCCTGCTTTTCAGTTTACTCCACTTGATTTTCATTCCCATAGTCCTAGGGTTAATGGTCAACTCCATTTTCTTTATTAAAGTATTTGTCATGAGAGCTGTTCTATCCAGCAGTGAGGAATGCTGACGCCAGAGAAGTGCTTGTCACATGACCAGCAGAAGAAACTTGGATTTAAAGTGTATGTATAGGCAAAACTTATTTTGGTTTGGATAGAATAGGAAAGAATAACACCTCTGCCATTTCTTTGCAGAGGTGTTATCTCCTGCTGTACCTAAGACACAACAGGACTATCTTCCTGTACCAAAGACACAACAGGAAATAAGATGAAAACTTGGGAAATTCCAATCTTACACAGCGTTACCCATTGGATTATTTACCCTTATCTCTCAATCTAGTGACAACTCTCAAAAAATGTGCATTTCCCTTAAAGGAGAACTATGAGGTGAGTGCTTTTCGCTCATAGTTCTAGCCGACCTGTGACAATGAAACTGTCACAGGTCGGCTCAGTAGATCGGGAAGTGAGCGAACACATACTGGCGCTCGCTCACTTCTCGATCCTGTCACGGCAGAGAGCCGTGACAGGGGAGGGGCTGGATTCCCCCCTCCCGCTCCGATCCTCCAGCGTTAACTGACGGAATGGATGGGGGTGGGTGGGTACAGCTGCCTCTGCCTATAAATAGGCAGAGCCAGCTGTCACTCACACAACTGGGCAGATCCAGACATAGTTGTCGGGATCCGTTTCAGCTGCGGCGTCTCAGTATACCGCGAGCTGTAGCTCCCGCTATAGTGAGCTTGGGAGGACCCAGTTTCTGGGTCCAGATGCTAACTGGTTCCTGGGAGGGAAAGACAGACCTTTCTTAAGTCAGATACTTTATACATGAGGCCTATTGCTGATTTCACGTGGGTGCTTGCCACAGAAATCACCCCAACTGGGAACCCCCCCCCCCACCAAAAAAAACCAAAAACCTAACAAAGGTTCTATAGGCTTGTTCACAATTCACACTACAGCCCTTCTCAGTGTTTTACACATACCTTTAATCTCTGCCTAATGTCTTGGAAATGATGTGTATAAAGTGATTGCTGAGCTGATGGGCTTATCTCACACTTAATAGCTTGGTGCTGACACATTGGAGTGCAGCAGTCTGAGGCCCCATTTACAACTTAGCGTTTTGTAGCTGGAACGCCCAAGCGCTGTAAGTCTCAATAGGGGAATCCTATTGTTTTAAATGGCCCCACATCTAAGTATTCTGTTGCCTGTAGTAAAACTCCTGTAGCACAAAAAAGTATGTGACATTCTTTTGAGGCAGAGTTGAGGGTTTTTGCCTGAAAAATGCTTGAAGGCGTGTAACACATTTTTCACGCTAATTTTGTTCCCAATAGTCCCTGTGTGTTGTAAAGTAGTCACCTGTCCAAGCTCACTCCATGACAGACTCACATTTAGTTCACTAATTTGTATTGAGATTGTAATCCATCACAGGAGCGAGCTTGGAGCGGTGGCTACTTTACAACACACACAGGGACCACAGACAGGGGAGAAAAGTAGCCACCCTCCAGAAGGAAGGACAGTGTCAGCACCAATTCAGAGATGATTTGCGGCTCTAGAGCTGAGTGATACACAAATAAGATACATTTTTGTTAATAGTTAAAGTACTTCAATGCTTTTTTAAGGTTTAATTACTGAGTTTAGTGTCACTTAAATAATTTCCTCCACACTAAACAGGAGTCATCTCAACTACACACTCAGCTGTCTGAATACCCGAACAGTGACTGATAGGATGCAACCACTGTTTGTACCCGGCACAGATCATTTTTTATTCAACTTTTGTTGTACTGGGTTCTGCTATCAGGGCCACCCATGGCTCTAATTTTGGCCAATTCTGGAGGAATCAGCCTAATTTCAAGCCGTGTATGGCTAGCTTAGGTCTGTCGTACACAATCCAAACCTCAGAAAGGTTTTGCCTGGAGTTCCTGTGCGTTATATGTATAGTTTTACTTTTTAACAGTTTCTAATCTCATCACTGAAATTATTTTAAGATGCCAATTTCTATCACTGACACAGCATCTTAAATGTAATCGCTGTTATCATGGTGCCTGAATTTGTGCCAGATTTGTAATAGACACTCCTAAATGCAGAAGACTGATGTAATATGACTAAGGAATTGCTTGTGCAGATGAGGTGCATTCATCAGATGCTTTGACAAAGATTTTATCTTTCTATGGGGTATGAAGATTTTAAACACATTACTCCTGTAGTATAGTGTAAGTAATCCTTCAAATAACGCTGAAACTGCAGATAGTAAGAGTTAGAAAATAAAACTGTTTTAGGAGACACATCTTTAAAGCTGAACTCCGGGATAAGCAAATGTTGTCTTAATACAAGAGGCATGTGTGTTTTTACTTGAATCTTGATGTTCTTTGTGTATTTCTCCTAGTTCCAGTCACTGCTGCTCACTCTCTGTGTGCAGGGTGACTGGTCTTGTATCCGCCCCCTCCTGTTATTCTCTACAGGGAGCCTGTAGTGGGTGGTGCCTGCTGGGTCCCTCCCACAGCTTTGCTGACTGCATAGGCTATGTATAGCACAGTGTTGATGTCATCACTACTCTGACGAGGTAATATCTTTGTTTAAAAAGGCATTTGGTACACACAAAGTGAATTTATATCCTATTTGTGACTATTGAGGAATATACTTAATTAAAGTTTTTGTGCCCAGAGTTCAGCCTTAGCTTATCTGCAGTAACAGCTTCTATATGCACTTGGTTCCTGTTTTCCTGATAGTTCTTTGAACATATATGCACAATATGCCATGTGTAGCGAAAGGACTGTTCCCTTTTGTGTGGGGAAGGGGGGGGGGGGGTAAAAATATTTTGACTACTGTGCATGAGTACCTGGACACAGTGCACACATGCTTAGCTTGGCACTTTCATCTATTAGTGCAGTATACTAGCATGGCCCCCAACTATCCTGGAGTCTGCAAGTCAGTCCTGGCTATCAGCAGAATTCTACAGTCCTGCGTGTCTAGAACATGTCCCATCATAGAAGTGAATGTGCATCCAGCAGACCACGTTGTCTGCTATAGAATCGAATGGATGGCCCCAATGCTGGCTGCTGGAGAATTGAACAGGCTAGCTAAGCTGTCTGAGGGTTCATGCACTTGCATAGTTGATCACCGATGTTGGGGCATTTTACTTGCCCCTGACCCCCAGGGCTGAGGCCTTTTTCCTGCCACAGACCACTTATGCTCAGATATTTTTAACTATGACTTTTTAAGGAAAGCCCAATATTTTATGCATCATAGCCCTTTCTACTGCTATGCATTAAGGCAGTGGTTCTCAACCTGTGTAACCTCAGGGTCCACATTTGTCCTTCGTCATTAAGTCGCAACCCAAGTTGCACTTCAATGAAACGCATGGCATTAAGGTACCATGAGTTTCAGTGCGGGCATACAAACTGTGGGTGGGAGATATGTTTGGGGTACCATTCAGATGAATGGCAACGCAACACACCTCCCACACCAGTAGGTGCAATTACGTGATACAGTGCGTTAATTGCACTGTACTATGCGAATACATGGGCCCTCAAAATCACTGGCATACATACACAACCACAGACACAATCTCACAGACATTCTCATACACAGACTCCAAAAAAATGTTTCAAGGTCCACCTAGTCTCCCTACCTTATGAGAACAGAAGTGGATCCTCAGCCTGGGGTCCAGTGTGGGCTGCTGTGCTGTGATGGAGCTCCATTCATGTGTGCAATGCTTGTACAGCTCCCTATGCGCCCTGTAGAGGTGCCGGGAGCCAGAATGTGATGTCACTCCGGTCCAGGCACCTCTATAAGACACGTGAGGGAGCTGTAAGCAATGCACATATGGATGGAGCGCCCTTGCGCCCATAGCCCCATCCCAGAAAAAAGAAAAGGCTAGTTGCACTCCTTACCGGTATGACCCCGTGATCGGGGAGGGGTGCTCGGAATGACTGCGGATGGCGCCGCCAAATACAGATAATTGCAGAAACGTCACCAGCACACCAAATCCTTATAGGATCAAAGTTCGTAGATTTTATTGCAAACTCATGTCAGTTACACAAGCGCTTTCGGGGCCACACAGGGTCCCTTCATCAGGCATAGCAATGACATCAGGCATCGTCATTGCTATGCCTGATGAAGGGACCCTGTGTGGCCCCGAAAGCGCTTGTGTAACTGACATGAGTTTGCAATAAAATCTACGAACTTTGATCCTATAAGGATTTGGTGTGCTGGTGACGTTTCTGCAATTATCATAGCCCCATCCCATCCCACCTCAAGCTGACACTCAGAGGAGTCTCTCACGTAGAAAAGTGGAAGGCATGCAGCGACCCACTGAACACTGGGTCGCGACCCACTTTCGGGTCACGACCACCAGTTGAGAACCGAGGCATTAAGGTATCCCTATTACTCATGTCCTTAATTTTGGTGGTATGTACTAGCAGTAGATGACCAGACATGCCCCTTTTTGTAACAGCAGGGTATGCTGCTGTTTATTATGAGGCTTACTGAATAGACTGAAATGGCTCATGTGCAGTTAACACCTTCTTTTCCCTTTTCTCAATGTTTTGCCACATCACACAGGATTCCAACAAGCTTGAAAATCCATGTGCAATATTAAGAATATCATACTCCTTATTGCCTCCTATGCTCCTTTTTAAGTGGCCCAAATTAGCATTACATTTGTCTGTCAGATTGGACTGGTCAGTCTTACTTGTCACAAAAGGGAAAGTGGGCTCAATGTGATTTAGGAAGGATGTAAAATGACATTCTCGGAAAAACACCTTGTACCAGCACAGGTTTCTGAGTCACTGTTCTAATCCAGGTGTTGTATTTTCATTTTCTTTACAGCACATGATGTTTGTTCAATGATGTAATTGTATGCGAACTTACTGTGACAACTTCTGGCATCCTGCATGTCTCATTCACCTGTTCTATTCTACAGCCAAGATCAGGTCACACTTAACTAACAATCAACAATAAGTGATCTCAGTTTTGCCGGTAAACTGTTTCTTGGGGCAGTTTTTTTTTTAACACATTAAAGACAGCAATAAACTCATAATACACCTCATATATAAGGGGTCTGAAGAAGAGCTTTCCGTATTGTCCATGTCAACCAGTATTTCTTTGTTGTAGCCCAAAACCACCTTTTAGAGATTAATTGAAAATAAGAAGCCCAGCATCATTAAAATTTAAAAAACAGCTTTGACTGTAATAGTTGCATCCCCTCTATCGCTATTCCCCATAGACTTCACACTTCTGCTCACACGGCATCATTCAATCCACTTCCTGAGCCCTGACAAATGGACATCATCCCAAGGGGTAAGACATCATATCAGGTAGGACAGCTCAATGCTCAAACACCATTACTTTAGGTCTGTGCTGTCCTGGAGGAACATGCACCTACCACCACCGGAGAAGAAGGCCCTGTGACATCATTGGACCAACCTGAACACTACCAGAAAAAAAGTTAAGTATTAAGGGATTATGAAAAACAGTTGGGGGGACCAGGAGTATGGGGAGTTAAACCAGAAACATGAAATTAGTTCTTTCAGACACTTTGCTAAATATTACCCAAACCAAACTAACTGTATTCTTTGTGCTTGTCATCCATCAACGAAGCTGCCTTGGCCAGACTAGAAAATAACTATATCTTTACACTGTTAATTTACACAGACATTCGTGTTCTAGGATTTACTTGCGTAAAGGAACCATCTTCTTTTAGTAGACTTATCTGGATGTGATAGAAGCCCCACTGTAGTATTTAACCTAATGCCTTGCAACGATGATGGCTCTGTCCAGCCAGAGCAATGTTTCTAGTGCTCTGTTCTGATGTGGGGCAGGTACCGGTGGTATCTATTGTACAAACTGGATTGGCCTGGCCAGTCATGACCAAAGCTCTCCCCAATCCCTATACCTGACTCCACAGGTTATATGAAGCATAGGAAACAGAGCCCATTGCACCAGCTTTTGCTGTGGGTTTATGCAAGTATTACAGTAAGCCTCTGTGATGTGTAGCCACAGCCCTGTTAAACTTGCAATAGTCCTCTGAAAAGTTATAAAGGGAAATACCTACTCCACTGAGGTTGAGTGACTGTCAGTCATAGAAAAGCATGATTTTGATAGGATGAAAGCTGTAGAGATGTCCTCTATATGTTTACCACACATAATTCAATGTATGAAAGATAGCCAGAAATGCTGTTCCATATCTGTCCGTTGGTTTAGCAGCTATTGTTGTAGGAGAACTGCAAAATCTGATACTCACAAAAGCTGCTTAGCGGTGTCCTAATTTTTTCTTTTTAAATAATGAGAGCTATAGTTAATAGTTGGTCTTAACACCTAAATGACATTTAGTTGAAACTCATTTAAACGGTGCAGTTACAGCCATTATAACAATGGTACATCTGCATGTTAAGGTCTGCTGGGAATGTAAGATGATAATGTCAGGCCTTCTGTTATACAGAAAAGAGCAATGAAAGAAGCTGGTAAGTAGCGGCGAGTACATGCAAGTCTACAGGGTACTTATTCCATCCTCGATGACGTCAAGGAAACAAGCGACGCCATATGAAAGTAATCCCCTAACAAGCTTCATTTTAGCACATTTTCACAAATTAACCCAAAATTCCTGCTAAAAAAAAACTACATTAATGTAAATTTATTTTATTATTGTATTACATATGTATACAAAATAAAGTAATGTAATAGATTCTTGAACAAAACAGACATTGTAACACCAGTTTGTGTATCTGTGTGTGTTATGGATGCATAAGAGCTTTGACTGGTCTTTAAAATGACAATATAAATCTGCACTAAGCCTTTGACTAAAATGATAAATGCCGTCTGTCTGGTGTTAAATCTTCACCAGAGGTTAATAAAGACGGTTTGGAAAATATAATCCCTATCTTTTTCATTTTCTGTATTACTCCAGAAATAAGAATTTGCCAAGCCCTGCCCCGCATATTATATTTAGTCAGAACCAGATGTGTTTTATTAAGCTATGCCCCTGTTCATTATAGAAAAGAGAGAGAGAGGCTTAATACTTTTATCTGTATTTCCAACTTCTAAATAGATAGAGGAACTTTTATTTACAGGACTTGTCTAGCATAGTGTTCAAGGGAAGAACCATTTGTGTTGCCTACAGAAACTGTATTCTAAGCATTCTATTAGGCTGGGCACACACCTTACAACCATCGCAAGACTTTTGTCTTGCGATGGTTGTAAGGTACTTAAAAGAACGTACGATCTGCCTATCTTGCATAGGCAGATCGTACTTGCGATGATCGCAAGCCACGCCCCCTGAGGGGCGGGCTTCCGATGACCGCAATGGCGAACGGGCCCGTACGGCTTTTATCGTACGAACATGCCACAAACCCGCCGAACATCGTACGATGCTCGGCGGGTTTTCGAACATGTCCGTAAGTTAAAAGTCGTGCGACCTTACAGTAGTAGAGGTCTCACGGCTTCCACACACCTTGCGATAATCGTACGATCGCGGGATTTCCTGCGAATATAGTACGATTATCGTAAGGTGTGTGGGGACCTTAAGTCACATGATACAGCGCGATTAATGCATGCAAACACACAGTGCACCTAGCGTGCGCTACGTGTGATGTGTTGCCATCCATATAAATGGCACCCCAACACATCTTCTGGCCACAGTGCACTGCAACACACAGTACCCCAATACCATGTAGTGCGTTGCAGTGAGGTGAAAAAAAGTAGTTTGTGCACTACTTTCTTCCACCACAGTGGATGGTATTGTGGTACCCCATGCTGTGCTGCACCGCACTGTGGCCGGGAGGTACATTGGGGTGCCATTCAAATGAATGGCAACACAAAGCACCATGTGCATGGTAACACACACTAGGTGCACTGTGCAATAGCCTGCGTTAATCGCACAGTATCGTGGGATTATCGCAACATTTAGGTGTGAACGGGCCCTATGTGCAGTGAAGAGTTATGGAAAGAGGAACTTTGCTGCTTCTAATGTTCAGCAATTCTCACAAGTATTTTACCCAAATGTCAACAGTTAAATGTCACTTGCCCTCCAGCTGCATATACTTTCCTTCCCTACACTTCCCCGGCAGCCCATTGCTCTGCAGGAGGAAGCAGAAGAAGACCTATTTAAGCTTTAAGTCGCTCATGTTGAAGCTTACACAGGGATAAGGGCTTACTCCCCAACACCTGCAAGAACAAAGTAAAGTTCACTTTTAAGGTCACCTGCCATGTCAAATAGCATATTAATTTAACAATATTGCTTAACAACAGGCACCACAAGGTTACCGGCAGTACCTTCAGCTAGAACTAAATTATTATCTGTGAACCTCCCAGTAATCCAGGTGCAGACTTACTGATACCTAGCCAGCCACCCCACAATCTCAGTAGCCAGTGGAAGGAAGCTGGCATGCTGCTGTGGGTTGAAGGCTTGTGGGAGTTTGTGGTAGAGCAACAAACTGGAGTGAAGTCAAGGATTCCACATAAGTCAAGTCCAAGGGGCTTCCCAGGTACTCAGAGGGCAATTTATATTCAACTGATAATACTGCCAGGTACTATGTGGTGCTTTGTTATGCAATACTGTTAGTTTCTTAGGACATTTAATGTGACAGGTTTCATTTAGGTCTTTCATTCCCCATGACTCACTCACTTACACCTGGTGTGACTCTCTTGGTCACATCTGCTATGATTCTCTCATTCCAACCTGCTGTTTGTATCTCATCTGTCTCCCTCTTGCTCCAGCAGGGCCTAAACATTGGTACTGCTCTTTCTCTTGGGCCTACCATATCTTGGGACTGCTGCTTATTTCAATATTTGAGTTCCTTAGGTGCACTTGGGGAATATTTTTAGGAGAACAACATTGGGCACACCTGTGATTCACTAACTTCTACAGGACTCTTACACACTAGAATTGTTGTATGTAAAATTCTGGTCAATAGATTTCCATGTACTCCAATAGTGTAGTGTGGATAACATTGCTGAGGCTGCATTTCACCTGGTTTGCATTGCAATTATTTGGGGGTTATTCACTATGGAGTTGAGGGATACAGCCGTAGCTTCGGCTGATCCTTTGGCTCTCTTCTGCCTCATCTGCCCTTCGGTTCAGTCGAACCGAAGGGCTGCTATACGGGCTATTCACAATAGCCCGTACAGCAACCAAAGACAGCCGAATGGCTCAGCCGAGCCGAAGGCATATGCTTTGGCTCGACTGAGCCAAAGTGACAGCCGAAGCAGGGAGAACGACCTGCTGAAGAGCCAGCCATTCTCCACGCAAATGACAGCTAGGTGGAGCCAGCCGTTATCTCACGGCTGGCTCCTCCCAGTTGTAATGACAGATCAGCATCCCCCAATGACCTGGGGACACTGATCTGTCATTAAACAATAACAACTGGGTGGAGCCGGCTGTGACGCCCAGTTGTTATTCATTGGCCGGGACCTGTTACAAGACTGTGGCAGGCGCCGGCCAACAGGAAACAGTTGGGCGGAGCTAGCTGTCACCATTAGCTCCACCCAATTGCTTTTTCTTTTATTAGTATTTCTTTTTCTTTAAAATATTTTAAAAGTTTCCTATTTATTTACATTTTTAGAATATTTTTTCAATCTTTTTTTCATTCATTTGACTTATTTTCTATTCTGCTCGGTACCTCAGAGGTACCAAGCAGAATAGCTGGGCCGAATGCCGCTCGGCGGCATACGCCTATTCACACACTGCCGTTGGGGCCCCTATGAGAATAGGGACGAACGGCAGCGAGTCAGTTGCCGGAGCTTCGGCTCACCGATCCAGATGTTGGATCGGCTGAGTCGAAGTCCCTCTGCACTTTGGCTCACTGAAATCAGCCGTACTGAGCCGGAGTGAATAGCCGAACGTAGTTTGGGTTATTCACTTGGCTGCCTTAGGCAGCTTTGTGAATAACCCCCTTGGATGCAGCTGGTCTTCTTGAGATGGTTTTGCAAAGCAGGTCAAATGCTGCATTTGCATTTAGCTTTTCAATGCTTGCGTTAGAGTGCAAGTGTTTGACAACTGTCTACATGTTAAAGAAGCCAACAGCCCCTAGCTGCATCACCCCCTAGTTCACCAATAACGTGTCCCCATAATAGGAGCTGGTGGCAGCACCTGATCGCTGTGCCAGCTGTTCTCCTTGCAGTCACCCAGCAACTCCAAGAAGGTTCCAGGCAAGTTGTTGAAACACATATGGTTACTGGCCTCTGCTGTTCCTGCTGTACAACACTTGCATGCTCACCAGGTAGAAGACATGCGATAGCCAGAAGAGAGCCAACTTTGCTCATGCCTGGATTGGCACCTGATGCAGTATGCCAGACACATGAGTAATCAGCTTGCAAGACAGCATGATTGTGCACACATGGCTGTGGGGATCCGATGAAGTGAACTAAGATCCTGGTTAGAAGACCCATGACTTATGCCTTCCTCTTATCACCTGGAAATAAAATTACTGCTATTGGCTGGTTTATCAAACAGGTGTTGCTGCTGATAGAAAAAGTTTTCATCTTTATTTTACTAGTTTTTAGTTTTTGTTACTACAGTATACAGTACTATATAGTATACTGTTTTGCTACAATGTAGTATAAGGTCATTTATTTAGTGTTAATGAGGGAATTGCTTAGGAAACCAGGTAAATCAGCAGCCACCTTAATATACTGTATGTATGCAATTTTGTCCTGTGTCCACTGTATCATACAGTTAATTGATCAAAATTACTTCCTGAATTGTATAGTTCTCATCAAATTAGACAGGCCCACATCAAAAACATATTTCTAATACGATTATCACTGTTACCCAGTAGAACTCTAGGCCAACAAACATAGATATTCAGTCTGCCAGCTTCGAATTGAGGGATCGCTTCCCTCAATCCTTTTTCTAAACCTTTTGGAGTTTACTTGGCACTAGCTTGGAGTAAAAAACAGCATTTCATTGTAATACATACATTTGGAAAATATATGGTGGTCTGAATCATTAGATGCTTTGGAATGAAATAAATCAATCGTTTGCTGTCACAATTTGATTAGAGCTCTTGAAAGTGCAAGGATAATGAGAAATGTGCCTGTGCTGCAAGCACATGTGATATTATTTGGCAAGGAAAGGATACACTGCACACCCTTCCTCTGCTGCTGAAGTAATTGACCTTCCACACAACTGTAGCATGAATGCAGAGCCGAAAGGGAAGCACCTTTGGTCTAGTCAGGATATTTAACCCAAGCAGCACTCTAGGAACTCAGCAGTAATATTCAGCTGGACCTCTCACTGTACTAAAAATATAAGTTATAAAATATACATGTCATCCCATTTATTGCTTACCTATGTTTATTAACAGCATTAAATCAAATCGTCCCTTGAATAAAGTAATCCAAGTGGCAGAAGAACCTAGAAGCAAGCACTCAGGGTGGATTCACATATGTGTATTGCAGTAATGAATGCTAAAATTTGCTATTAAGGTTAACATGCTGTATAGGTACGTTGTCATTTACTCTGAATGGCAACCCCATGCACAAATACAGTAGGAAAAAAATGCACCTGTGCTGTAGGACAGCTTTTTTTTTTGTCACTGTAGTACACCATAGCAAGTATTCACATCTGTGCATTGTGGGGCGCTGCATTGACAAAAATAATGCAGGTGTGTTTTTCTGGGCCCAAAAACACAACACATGCAAATATGTGAATGAGCCCCAATAGATGCATGTGCATACTTCTCCTGAGCCATGGAAATCCTCATGTGTTTCATCAATACAGAGGCACACATTGGGATGTGGCACAGCTCCGTCTTTAGGTTCTCCTGTCATTTGGTTCATTTTATCTAAAGGTGGCCATACACTTTACAACCATCGCAAGACCTTAGTAAGTAATTAAAAAAACATACGATCTGCCCATCTTGGCCGTGCGGCATTGATCTTACGATCATGCTAAAAACCAGCCGAAAATCGTACGATTCTCGGCTGGTTTTCTAGCATGCTCCTTAGACAAAAGACGTGCGACCGTACACTGAAAACGGTCGCACGCCTTCCATACACTTTGCGATTATCGTACGATCGCGGGATTTCCTGCGATTATCGTGCGATAATTGCACAGTGTATGGGCACCTTAAGTGTCAGATGTATACGGTGTTCTTCCTTGGAGTCATACATTTGATATTTATTTCCCTGTAATTGCCAGCTTACCTAGGAAGGGGGCACTCCTATTTCAGATATACAGCTATGAGGCTCAAGGCACCAGATTTCCTAGGGAAGTGTGCTGCTAATTTTTAGGAGGAATTACAGAGAAAAATTCAATTGAAACAATTAACATTCTTGCTGTACCCTATAAGATGGGAAATCTGCACTGTCACTATCTCTCTACTGTAAATGTGCATCTATCTTTTAACAAAGCAACATTCCGGACTTACACAATAGAACTTAGCAGTAGAGATGATACACAATCATCATTACTCCATGAGGCCTGATAATGTTTAATCACATTCAACAATGTGGGCTGCTTTGCAGTATATGACTGCTGCTTATTATTTGCAGTTTAAATCACTTGCAATGAATGCTGCTCCTTGATATTTATAAGCTTTAGTTTCCAGCAGAATCAGCTGGTCCATTGAGCACTGGACCTGATATGCTGTTTTAGGGTGGCTCCTTTCCCTTGCAGGGTCCTATGGGCCACCCTTGTGTGTGCTAGTAAGCTGTGTGTGTCTCCATAAATACACAGGCACAGCAGAGCAAGCCACGTCCCTCCCCCTTGCTCCTCCCTCTTCCTTGCTCCTTTCTCCAAGCTAGTAGATCAACAGCTGCTGGTGATTGTGCTGTCTTTTTGTATCTTTTATTGGACAGGAAGTTTGAGGAAGAAGAGCTGAGAGAGTTGCCTATTTAGAAACATGATGACTGTAAGTGCTTGGGCAAAAATAAATATAGTAATACTTTGGTTTACGAGCATAATTCGTTCCGGCAGCATGCTTGTAATCCAAGCCCTTGTATATCAAAGCGAATTTCCCCATAGGAAATAATGGAAATTCAGATGATATTCATATAAATATGATTACAATACTGTACTGTAATATAACACTGTACAAGAGCCTGGTGGAGAAGAGGCTGCGGACTGCTGGAGCCGTGTAGAGAAGAGGCTGCGGGCTGCTGGAGCCTGGGGGAGAAGAGGCTGCGGGCTGCTGGAGCCTGGGGGAGAAGAGGCTAAGAGAAAAATTCAATTGAAACAATTAACATTCTTGCTGTACCCTATAAGATGGGAAATCTGCACTGTCACTATCTCTCTACTGTAAATGTGCATCTATCTTTTAACAAAGCAACATTCCGGACTTACACAATAGAACTTAGCAGTAGAGATGATACACAATCATCATTACTCCATGAGGCCTGATAATGTTTAATCACATTCAACAATGTGGGCTGCTTTGCAGTATATGACTGCTGCTTATTATTTGCAGTTTAAATCACTTGCAATGAATGCTGCTCCTTGATATTTATAAGCTTTAGTTTCCAGCAGAATCAGCTGGTCCATTGAGCACTGGACCTGATATGCTGTTTTAGGGTGGCTCCTTTCCCTTGCAGGGTCCTATGGGCCACCCTTGTGTGTGCTAGTAAGCTGTGTGTGTCTCCATAAATACACAGGCACAGCAGAGCAAGCCACGTCCCTCCCCCTTGCTCCTCCCTCTTCCTTGCTCCTTTCTCCAAGCTAGTAGATCAACAGCTGCTGGTGATTGTGCTGTCTTTTTGTATCTTTTATTGGACAGGAAGTTTGAGGAAGAAGAGCTGAGAGAGTTGCCTATTTAGAAACATGATGACTGTAAGTGCTTGGGCAAAAATAAATATAGTAATACTTTGGTTTACGAGCATAATTCGTTCCGGCAGCATGCTTGTAATCCAAGCCCTTGTATATCAAAGCGAATTTCCCCATAGGAAATAATGGAAATTCAGATGATATTCATATAAATATGATTACAATACTGTACTGTAATATAACACTGTACAAAGTATAAAGAAAAATAAACCAATTACAGGTACCTTCGTGGCTGGTGTGAGGGGGACAAGAGAGGGGAGAATTATTGTGTAGGGCGACTTTCACTATCACTAACGGAATCACTGCTATCTCTCGGCTCAATGGAATCATTTCGTGAAACCTTAACAAGGAATATATCCAATGACACTTGCTGTTGCCTCCTTTTGAGGATTTTGTGGAAATGTGCATTGCACAATTGCATTGCCGTTAAACAGATTAATTGCACGCACTGCTACAGCCTTATTCGGGTGGTGCTTTTCTACAAAATGTTTCTCGTATTGCAAGACGCTGCTTGTATATCAAGGCACAATTTTTCAGAAATGTTTGCTTGTCTTAGGGAACACTCGCAAACCAAGTTACTTGTAAGCCAAGGTATTACTGTACTTTGCTGGGCAATATATACTTGTTTGATCTGGATTCATTATTGAAATACAATTTGAGGGTTCAATACTACTTTAACTCATGTATAGTAAGTAGGGTGTACACGGTTAGAATTTTGAACAAGCAAAAGCAATTTCAGAACGTGATTGATTTCGACCGCAGTGCTGAAAAAATTTGGAAGGAGCATGCTGGACATTTGTCCTTGATTGATTGAAATTCTAACAGTGAATGTGGGTATCATTTAGGAAACTCCATTCATTCCAAAACCGAATGTTAAATCGAATAGCAATCGCCAAGTCTCTGATGGCATTGTCAAACGTTGTGACGGGATGTTTCTTACAAACGTGTGTGTGAAAATCTACATGTGTATACCCTACTTTAGGTAGGAATGGATACTTACCTGTATCTAACAGGGTTATTCACAAAAGGGTGAAGAGTTTGAGAAGGCAGGAAAAGTGATCAATTTAGGACAACATAGCTGATTTGGGAACAATTCTCCAATTCAGCTCACTTTCCAGTTCAGCTATGTTGTCCTAGATCAGTGGTGGCGAACCTTGGCACTCCAGCTGTTTTGGAACTACAAGTCCCATGAGGCATTGCAAGGCTCTGACAGCCATAGACATAATTCCCAGAGGCAGATGCATGTTGGGATTTGTAGTTTTGGCACAGCTAGAGTGCCAAGATTCGCCACCACTGTCCTAGATTGATCACTTCTCCAAACTCTTCACCCTTTTGTGAATGACCCTATAAATATTTCTGATACTTTTACCAGATGTGGGGGCAGTAACAGAATGCATGCACCTCAGTCTTTGTCTCACTAGTGTACCCCATATTGTACCAGAAGAATAGATGTAGACTCTGTTCTCCTTATCGTTGCAGACCAGTCAGAGGTTTTAGCTGTAAGTAGGCATGGCTTTTAAATGTGTTCAAATGATTTTATGCTTTTCAAAACAGTTGAGGTTTTAATAAAACATGTTTTTTTGTACTGTGCATTTATGGCACCCCACAATTAATTTATGTACTCATACGTTACTAGTCAGTACTACACAGTTTCAGTACTGATAAAGTGGAGCTCAGCCATGTCGTGTTGCTTTTGGTGTGCCGGATACCTTATAATCACATCAGACACATTGCACCGTATCAGGTTGGAGGTCAGTTATTTTCCCTCTTTAGACCATATTTTATTGTGCCTTATCTATGGCTGCAGATATATGGGACTGAACTGGTTTCAGAAGAATAACTTGTTGCATGTAATAAAAAGGATCATTTATCCTTTAATAATTTTAGGTACCTTTATTATAACTAAACCAAGCAAATAAAAGCACACCGGTCATGAAAGACAAACAAGGACTGACATTACTTATTTCCTTCTGAAAAGGCAAGTTTCTTGGCTAATTTTCTTCTGAGTCACAGACCTGCAACATACATGCTGTAAACGAGTGTGAGAATTCCTTTTCCTTTATACTAGGGAAGTGACTCAAAGTACTGAATCCAATGCATCATCATGACATCAAGGGAATTTTCATTTTCATAAAAAGACAGCAGATGTACTTTATGATGCTGTTCATTAGCTGCTTCATTGTGAACTCATTGCCTGGATCACTAGCAAAGTTTGAGGAAATAGGGAGACATGTACCCCCCCATCCCCCGTACCTGGATCACCCACAGTACTAGGTAACATGGGGACAAGCGACCTTTAGAAAGATGGTACTTGTGTACAATTGTTAAGCCATATACAGGAGGGAGAGGGGCCCTGATAAGGTGCCTGCTGTACAGCATCAGTCTTAGTTTGATTTATGTAATCTTGGGTTTACTATAGAAGAACTCCGGCCAGTTACAAAATTAACCCTTGCAGTCGGGCTACCCTCACACTGCAAGGGTTACGTGCTCATTTGTGTCTAGGATCTAAAATAAAAAAGATATACTCACCTGATTCTCAATCCTGCCTGGTTGCTACACCAGTCCCCTCAGCCTCTACTCCCCCAGGCTGTAACAGTAACATGTAATGCAGATTTTACATCTGCATTACACCGTATTAGATGTTTTTTTTTATTATTTGTCTGTTGATCTATGTTATTGACTGTTTACAAAACTGTTCAAGAAAAATGATTTGATTTAAAAAAAAAAAAAAGATGATATGACAGGTCCTTAGACTGCTGGAGCCTGGAAGAGGCTACGGGCTGCTGGAGCCTGGGGGAGAAGAGGCTGCGGGCTGCTGGAGCCTGGTGGAGAAGAGGCTGCGGACTGCTGGAGTCTGGGGGAGAAGAGGCTACGGGCTGCAGGAGCCTGGGGGAGAATAGGCTACGGGCTGCTGGAGCCTGGGGAGAAGAGGCTGCGGGCTGCTGGAGCCTGGTGGAGGAGAGGCTGCGGGCTGCTGGAGCCTGGGGGAGAAGAGGCTACGGGCTGCAGGAGCCTGGTGGAGAAGAGGCTACGGGCTGCTGGAGCCTGGGGAGAAGTACCACCATTCTGCCGCTTTCAACGGGGTCACTGTCTCCTGATCACTAACTTGAATAGGTGACAGCTGCTACTTGTAAACAGAAGATTATGCTGCTGAAGGAAGCGCAGGTTCCTGACTCAGGAATCCCTAAACACACCTAAAGTACAAAGCCTTCTACAACTTCGCCTCAACCTACGTCACCCACCTCATCTTAGAATACCACCCAAACTGTCCTCTCAAGACCTCCTGCTGTAACTGCACTGTCTCCTCCATTATGCATTATGAATGCATTTTGTAAAGTGCTGCACAAGTTGTTGGCACTATATCAATCCTGTATAATAATAATAAAGTATGGGTTTGAATGATGCCTTAGTGTCTAGTCGTATCCTGGACGCACAGAATTCTATTTCCTCTTAATGCTCCTAAATGCAGCAAACGTTCAGTTAGAGTGACACCATAAAATCATTCTATGCATTTAGAAGTGTCCTCTAGATGCCAGTGTGAATGAGGCCTTCAGAGAAAAAGTCAGAAGTGGATCGGCTGTGCTGTTATTACCAACAACAGCTTGTGGAAAGTTCTAGAATGTGGACAGATGATTTGTGCAGCAGAACCATGACTTGTGTAATGAAGTGATGACAAAGGCAGATTGTCCACCCCTGGCCTGTGGTGTATAGGGGGTGCAGAGTTTGGAATTTTGGGGACCTGTCCCATTTTTTTGGCTGACAGGCAGAATATGAATTGAGCTGTGCCTGGAATTAGATAATAACAACAAGAAGTGTTCTTTAGGCCTCCCCATGGCTGTTTGACATAAGGCTTCTTGTTCTGTGGGGTCTTTCTCTTTGTTAGGGGGAGGGGGTTATTTATCCAAATAGCAGCTTCTTTATGAGACTTCTAGGAAGCTGAGCTGGATGTGTGCGGAGAGTGTGCAGAGTGCAATGAGTTAAACTAAAAAAGACTTGTTTGCAGAGCTCAGCCCGGTGTTTTTCAGAGCGAGAGCATCTTGTTTTTCACAGACTGGAGTTACACCCCCATTACATCAGGGCACTGCTAGCACCGCCCCCTCAGCATCAGGCTTTCGCTTAGCTCCAATTGGCCGTGAGCTGCGGCCTGATTGGTCAAGCCTCCCATGTGGGCGTGTACGAGGCGGTGAGTTTGCCTGGCCAGGACTTGTTTATGAAGCTGTGTTGCGGGCAGCATTCGCTGGCTGTGTGTGCGGAGAGAGGAGAGATAGGAGTCCCGGCTACAAGTCACAACAATAGCGGACCGGAATAAAACCTACAGGAAGCATGAGGTTGTCACCACGAGCAGCATTGCCAGTCTCCGAGATCATCTGCAGCCGGTGCAGCAACAAGGCACAGGTGAGCCCTGCTATATGAGTCATTGATCGCCGCTGCGATCTCTCTCCCCATTCATTGCAGCGTTTGTGTTTGTGCCCTGCGAGCGATCTTTCTAGCAATGATCGTGCCTTGTGTTCCCCCTGGATCAGCTGCCTGACCCTCTTGATTGATTTTATTGATACCCCTCATTGTGCTGCGGAGTCTGTATGCTGTTACCAGGTTCAGGTTTATTGTACGATGCATTGGTTATCATTCGTTATATGGGGGGTAGAGCATCAGTTACATAGCCAGCGATGTTGTTCTATCACTGACAGGTCCGCTTTGTCTTCTACAAGTTCATTGTCCCTTTTAATCATGGCTGAGGGGATGACTTGTTTACTGTGTTACTGGGGGGAGGAGGAAGGAGATGGAGATGGGACCCTCTAATGGACATAACATGTATGGACAAGTCTCTGCTGCCAGGAAACATCACATCATATAGAGAGTGCATTGGTTCTATGGGGAAGTCTGGACATGTTCAGTGCCAATGTATTGTATATCATATGCCAATGTATTTGGATCTGCCTATATAGTGCCAATGTATTTATATTACCAGTGTGTTTTATCTGCCTCTATAGTGCTAATGTATCTTCTATGGCAATGCATCTTATCTGCCTTTTATAGTGTTTCAGTGATTTTTTTTGTTAACGATTTCTTATGTTCCTATAAAAGATCTGAATGCATTGGTACTAAAATAACTTGGTACTGACAAAGGTTACTGTTCTACCTTTTTATAGTGTTTTTGTGTATTTATATTCAAACCAAAAATAGCGCGGCACATTTCTACTCCTATAATAGATTATATTGCCATTGACTTTCGTGCTAATGCATTTTATCCATCCAATGTTCATTTGCCTAGAACAGCTTTCTGATAGCAAATGTGTCCGATCTACTTTTGCCCCTGTAATTAGGAGGTATACAACCCTCCTCGAGTCCATGGACTACTTTTGTAGTAAGCAGGCTGGATGATGGGATGTATAGTCGGAGTGATGCATTGCTTCTGCAGCAGCTACCTGTTGGGGAACAAAGGCATCTTCCAGCATCTGCAGAGGCTTTGTCTTTGTGCTGAGCGCACCTACCTGTGTTCACCACTTTGCACATGCCAAGTCACTAACTGCTGGTGACATCATTCGTGTGCCTGTAATGTGCACCGACTGACAGTTCTTTGTATACGGCAGTGATTTATGTATGGAGTCACTGCTAGCTAGACCACAGCCAGTAGATGTTCAGACAGCCATTCATGGCTTTGTATTATTCAGTGTGAAGTCCTATTTTATATGTCCTGTATATAAACACTGGCTGGTCTGCATATTGATGTGTTCCAGTAAAGATCCATTCTTGATTTGTGAAAGCACTTGGACGCAGAATAGACGTGATTAGGATTCCAAGTCCATGAGTGACGAGCAGAGAAAACATTTGTTCTTTGTAGAAGTTCACCAATTCAATACAGAGGAGCTAGGAGCCTTCATGTCTAGTTCTGCAAGTAATGCTCTGTAGATAGAATCATTCTCGGGTCTGAGTGTTGGGGATGGGATGCTTAGCGAGCGTGAAGAATTTTACCTCTTTGAATGCGGGTCAAGCTGAAGAACGGCTGCTGCAAAGCAAACGTTTGCTCACCCCGTGTGCAAGTACAATGGACTCTGTCCCACTTAAATCTTCATGAAAGAAAAATATCAGAATGAAAAAGTATTAGTAATTACAAGTATGTTTTAATGGAGATTTATAAATTGGAGAGCGATTGATCATTTTGTACATATCAGAGGGAACATTGTGCAGTAATTAAGGAGAGCGTGTCCATAGTTACATAGACACAAGTCCATCGAGTTTAACCTATAGAGATGAGAGCCCACATTCTGTTTTATTGAGGCTTCTTAACGAATGCGTCACTGTGTCATTTCTTGGAAACAAAGATTTTGCTGTCTCTTCTATTCCTGGTTGGAATCTCCCGATGTCATCATAAGAAAAGTGTAAAGTGAAAGCAGCAGACAAAGCTTTTCCCAGGTGTATAGAATGTCCCCTGCATGGCGATTCCAAGTCATACAACAAAACCGTTTTATGTATTCATCTTTTATTGTGGAGGATTGGTGATCTGGGTGTATTTTATGTTCATCATGGTGACTTTCTTCTTCTAGGAAATGGGAGTCCGAATCCCTCGCCCCTTAGGACAAGGTCCCAGCAGATTCATCCCTGAAGAAGAGGTTGGTGGCATTTTGTGTTCCCTTATGTGACAGTATTGTTTGTATCTAGTCTGCAGAGTTTCAGTATCCTTTGACCGTGATGGAAAATACCCTCATGATCAAGAGATACATTTTTCATTACGTTCTCACACTGATCATAACAATATAAAAAATCTCATGCAGAAGCACCAGAGACAATCATTCCTCATCCCTCACAAGGAAGAAGTACTAGGCATATGTGCAGGATGCAGCCCCACTACAGTCAGGGAGACTGGGACATCTAGAAGAAAACACAAAGAGGTGCGCCTTTCCTGCTGCAGATTGGTTTATGCAATAAAAAGTAAAAAACAAACTTGCAGGTACTCACAAGAGTAGAACAACAACAGGCTGTAGGACAATGAGTAAACCGGAGCAATGGAGGGATCCTCGTGATACGTCCTGTATACCCATATGTGAAGTGTCGACGCGTTTCCGGGGCACGCCCCCTCAGATGAAAGGGGCGTGCCCCGGAAAACGCGTCGACACTTCACATATGGGTATACAGGACGTATCACGTGGATCCCTCCATTGCTCCGGTTTACTCATTGTCCTACAGCCTGTTGTTGTTCTACTCTTGTGAGTACCTGCAGGTTTGTTCTCTTTGTGTTTTCTTATTGACTTGCAAGACCTCCTTTTTCTATACTGTTTAGACCCCATTAGTGGGGAATCTGTACATCACCCAACCAAACCGAACTGAACTGCATTGGTGCTCTGCTTTCTATGATGTAGCTCATCATTATCCTTGTAGCTCTCTTGCTGTATAATTCTATAGTATATGTGTATTTCAGAGCACACCTACTACTTTTCTCTTTTAGTGACTTTACAAAGACTTATTTTGGGAAAGTATGAGCAGCTGAAAGCGCAACTCCAGATATATGGATTTGATATATTTAGCTGAACTGTCCTAGTCATATTGTGCGGACAGTGTTGTGATTCAGATAGCACTGCCCTCAGCAGTTCCTGGTCCGGTCTGAGACAAGCCACAGCCTGTGATTGGACATTGAAGTGGCAGAAGTACACCGGTGAGGTCATCACTCTGACTCTCCTATTCTTATTATATGGACAGTAACATACAATGAAGCAGAGCTTGGTTGGCTCCCAGTGCTAATCCTCCTCGCAGTGTGAGTGCCTCGCTGCTCCTGTTAGATTGATAGTTTGTTATGGAGAATGCAGCACAGTGAGGACATCACTTTTATAGAAGGAAGAGTGACACCTCCTGGTGAGAAAGAAAAGAAGTTCCCAGGCAATGAAAGGAGCAATGCTAGAAGTCTATTTAGCTTCCACCTATAATATTCCTTTTGTCCTTCAGTTATCTAATGTGTTTTGCAAACCAGATTTACATTGATTTTGCTATGTGACATGCAAGTCAAAGTGACTAGCCTAATATGTTTTAATCTATCCACAGATTCTACAAGTGGGGAACGAAGATGCTAACATGCATTCAGTGTTTGCTGACGTGTTTACTGACATGGGCCGCTTGGATAACATAACCCTAGTGATGGTGTTCCACCCCCAGTATTTGGAGAGTTTCCTGAAAACACAACATTACTTGTTGCAGATGGACGGTCCCTTACCTGTCTGTTATCAGCACTACATTGGTATCATGGTGAGTCTAGTTCTGTTTGTATTTACTTGTCTCGGGGTGATGATGTATGGAAGTGATGCCCCCAATGTTCAGCATTTTTGGACAGTAATGAGCACCTCTTGTATTTAAGGCCCAATCAAAGTATTGCGCGTTCACTGCTGGTGCTCAGACTGTTAGTTGGAGGAATAGAAGTATCTCCCTCTAGTAGATATCTTCCTGCCTGTGACATCACTTATGCACACATGCCTATAATCGCATTTCTAAGCACAATTGCTTGTTACGGGTTTGTAGATTGTATACTTTGTAACACAACAGTTGCTTTAGGTGCAGTCTTCATTAGCGTAGTCTTTCATCCTAACAACCAAGAGACTTGCAGTCCATTTCATATCCAATAATGTTCTTGTTTCAGGCGGCGGCCAGGCATCAGTGCACCTACCTGGTTAACCTGCACGTCAATGACTTTATCCATAGCGGAGGGGACCAGAAGTGGTTAAATGGTCTTGACAACGCTCCACAGAAGCTCCGTAACCTAGGAGAGCTAAACAAGCTACTGGCACACAGACCTTGGCTGATCAAAAAAGAACACATTGAGGTGAGTAATGGCCGAGTGATGACATTAGAATTGTGTGATGTTACATAGTTACATAGTATGTGAGGTTGAATAAAGACGTAAGTCCATCAAGTCCAACCTATTACGTGTGTGCATTGATGTGAGATGAGACCGTCTGATAGACTGACTTTATATCTCATTTTGTGTTTGCAGCAACTGCTGAAGACAGGAGAGCACAGCTGGTCCCTGGCAGAGCTGATCCATGCTGTAGTCCTGCTCACACACTACCACTCCTTGGCTTCTTTTACATTTGGCTGTGGAATAAGTCCAGAAATTCACAATGATGGAGGCCACACATTCCGTCCCCCTTCCGTCAGTAACTACTGTATCTGTGATATAACGAATGGCAATCATAGAGGGGATGAGAGCCACCGCACAACAGGAAGTATGGTAAGTTAGCATATGAGCCATTGTTTACATATAGGCCCTTTTTCAGAGGTATCAGCCGTCTACTATTCAGCTGCTTGGGGTCTGGTGTTTGGAAACCTAGTGACATCATGTGAAGAAGTCATTCTATAGGAACTGTTTTATACTGCTGGGGGATAACTATGAAATGTAGAAGTGCCCAGAGATGGATCTAGGTTCTGGTAGTAGTAGTAACAAATGTCAGGACATGAAGGCTGATGGTTTCTGTGTCTCACTTGTACAGGGCTTAGATTCGTGTTGTGAAGTGGAAGCTCTGATGGAGAAGATGAAGCAGCTTCAGGAATGTAGAGATGAAGAGGAGGCAAGCCAGGAAGAGATGGCCACACGTTTTGAGAGAGAGAAGACCGAAAGCATGCTGGCTTTTGCTATAGGTACATTTTAACTTGCGTGTTTGGAATCTCCACCTAGTCCCTGGCGTTTTATGTTATGTTCTAAATCTGTGAGTCTTAGTGGTAGAAACTGGCATATAAAATTTGTTGGAGGTTTAGGGACTGTGCATTTGACTAATAACCTGTTTCTTGGAAAAGCTATTACATCTGTCTTATTTGATACTTGTAACCTAATGACTAACAAGTGATACTAGTAGGGGACCTGTGTGTATCGCACAAGATCCTCCTCAGACTACAGTAGTGGTCAAGCAGAGCCTACTGTATTTCTCGGATCATTGTGACAGTTGCAGAGTTCCATCTCTCCACTGTGATGTAACCTGGACCAACATAGTGGGTATAGCGGAAACCTGGCTGGACAGCACGCATGAAGCCTGCTTATCCTACACCACACAACGTCATACCCAACATGTATTGCTTTACTTTTTATCATATGTTATTATATTTTACAAACTATCACCTTTTATTTTAAGCCTTTGTTATCTAAACCTGGCTATGTAATAAATGAATACATTGATGATATTCTGTTTCCAACAGAAGATGACCCTCCACCGGCACGAGAAGTCTCCAGACATTTTGAAGACACCAGTTATGGTTACAAGGACTTCTCCCGCCGTGGAATGCATGTTCCCACCTTTCGAGTGCAGGTAAAGGATCATCTTTTATTACATGGATATGTTATGGTTCGTTCTCTATCAAATATACAGTTCTCGCCCCTAAATCATGGTCAAGCTACAGTAAATGCCAGATCATTTCCAGAAATGAAACTGGAAACTGAACACAGCAGTGATGGAAAAAGGCATTCTAGTATATTTGGGCTTATTTAACAATGAGTTGATTTGATCCTATCCAAACTGTTCTTGTGCATCTCCTGTATGGTATGAGACGATAACGTCTGATCACTGTGTGCAACCGGTATAAACTAGTTCTGTTTCTTGGAAGCTTTACTGGTGTAGAGGAGTGATTGGTATCCACCAAGTCCTCAGTCCAATGATACACTCTTCCTCTGTGTTTAGATATCATTAGGTGTCAATGCCTGGGGATTTTCCTCTGTTGCACATACATCCCAAAGCAATGAAACCAATGAGAGAATGGCGCTCAATTGTAAACTTCTGTTAAAATGAATGCAATCTCTGTATACAAAAGTCGTCATAATAAAGCATTTTCCTTCACTGCAAACTATTGTTAAAGCCCCATTTCAATGTTTTGTTGCAGGATTTCAGCTGGGAAGACCACGGTTACTCTTTAGTGAATCGTCTTTATCCAGATGTTGGGCAGCTACTTGATGAGAAATTTCACATTGCATATAATCTGACATATAACACCATGGCCATGCACAACGATGTAGATACCTCAACGCTAAGACGGGCCATATGGAATTATGTACATTGCATGTTTGGAATAAGGTGAGCTCCTAACTGGTACGATTTAGTATGCAGAAGATGATTTGGAACCTTGGGTTATAGTCTGAACATTTTGGAATCGACAGAGTGGTACAGGACTTCCTGTAGGAAGTAATAACTGTCTTGGACAGGGTGATGTATTCTCATAACCTGGTGTAAATGATGCTTTTAGAGCACTAATGTTTATTCAGACTAATCAAAGACAGTCATTACATTCCAGTGTATTGGTCCATGCATGGCAAGCCTTGGACATATATACAAAGGGGTGGATTTATTGAAGGAGTTGAGACTCTTCACTTAATAAATAGCAGCTGTGGTAACTTTGAATACCCAATCATGTGCAGATAAAATATGACAAGAACTTACTTTCAGATAATTGAAGCAAACCTTCACTCAGTTTTGAGTGATGATTCTCCACTCCTTTAGCAAATCAGCCTGGATGTGTCTAAACTGCATTCAGTTTGACGAAACTATAGCAACAGAATGTTAATTGTTACACCTTTTGTCTTTGCTGCAGGTATGATGATTATGACTATGGAGAAATAAACCAATTATTGGACCGAAGCTTTAAAGTTTACATAAAAAATGTGGTGTGTAGTCCAGAGAAGACGACAAAACGAATGTATGACAACTTCTGGAGGCAGTTCAAGCATTCTGAGAAGGTGAGTGAAAATAAATCTGTTTTCAGTATTTAACCATGTCATCTTTCTAGTGGTTAATGATACAGTTTAGATATTGACAGATGCAAAACAGGCAAACTGACTTTTAGGCCTCATTCGCACTGGAATCTGCTCCGTGCTGCATGCACGGCCACACCAAGCGGCTCCCGGGAAGGACAGGTGCTGCATGTGATTAGTCTTTCCCTATGGGCTTCGCGGCCGTACGCGCCCCCTCCATGCACACCCGCCCTGCACGTCCATGCGGGTGAGTACGCTGACAGGACGGATCCTGTCTGCGTGTGAGCCGCAAAACGTGCACCTGAGGTGAGCGCAGGGGGGGGCGTACGGCCACGTAGTCCCATAGAGAAGGACGGGGGCTGGGTACTAATCACACGCAGTACCTGTCCTTCCCGGGAGCTGCTCGATACGGAGCAGTACGTGTCGCCCGATTTACAGTGTGAATGAGGGCTTCAGGGTATTTTGTTTTAAAAATATATCTATTTTTTTTGCAAATGGCTAAAGTGGATTTGCAGTCCCCACCTAACATGGGACAGAGCTCTATTGCTAAGTGCCCAATTATCTAAATATCTTTGTCCAGATTCTAATCAAATACAATTCCAGCATGGGCCCAGTTGTGCGATTGATGCTCTGACCGGTTCAGTTTTGTACGTATGCATTATTTTTTCCCAATAGTGCATCCCCTCCGGACCTTAGGGATCAAAAGTACCAAACATTATACCAAAGGAAAACCTGTATGTGGGAGAAATGTGAACGTTCTAGTTGCTGACCTCTCCTGATGCATGTTTTCTGGCACCAGTGCTTCTTGGTTCTTGATTTAGAGGAGCTATGCAGATCAGTAGTTCTGAAGAACTTGTTCCATGCCTCCTTTTCGGTTGGTGAGCGTGGAGGCTTTAGCCGAGCACAATTTTCAGAAGGGTCAGCCGTGGTAACATTTCTCTGTTTAGGTTTTTTGGTGGTTTGCTGTATAGTTGTGAGTCGGGAAATGTCTTCATGATGACATCTGTACTTTGTTCTTCCCATATGCTTTGTTTGTTTTTGCACTGCTTGCAACTTCTGCACAGAAACTGTATGACTCTGCCTGGCAGAATGTAGCATCGCTTGAGGAAGTGAATTTTGAGCTGAATACTTAATCTTTCTGTTCTAGGTCCATGTTAATTTGCTTCTTATGGAAGCGAGGATGCAAGCTGAACTATTGTATGCTCTACGAGCAATCACCTGGTATATGACCTGATTGATTTGTCCGAACGATCGCTCAAAACGAATGTTCAACAGGGAAATCTGCTTTCTGCACTGCCGACTTCCCACGCCTTTGTGGTAGCTACCTTTTCCTCAGAAGTCCATTGTGCCATAATTGCCATCATATCAGCTGTTTGGTTTGTGCCACTGATTTCTCACATTGAACTGACATTTGAATGTCCTGAAAGATGATGCCTTGCTGTCCTGCTGGAACACCTGCAAGTCTGGTCTTTTGCCATCCAGTGATGTTGCGTGTCTTTGCAGTGATGGACATTTAGAAAGCATTGAAGACGAGGCACCGTGGAAACATGCACTATGATTTCCCATTTGGGTCAATAGTGGTGCTGCTGATGTGTTAATGAGACGTGGGCCTCCCAGTTAAGCTATATAAATAAAAGTACATGAACACTGCTACAGCCTGAGCCTTGTTATATAAATACACACCGGAAGTGTGCATTCCTTTACATTTGTGCATGTTTTATGGTTGGCCATCTACAGCAGTTAACAAATCTCCCAACATCTGTTGCTGATATCAGCTATTGGCTTTATATAGTGCTGGAAGAAAGCTGTGATTGACAAGTATATATTGTATATCAATATATAGTATATGTTCAAGAAAAAAAAAATTGTCTTCCTGAAAATCTGTATAGATCCATTTCTTTCCAGTCTTCAGAAGGTATTTTTACCATTCTCTGACTACAGGGAAAGTGAAATACCTCTTCAGTTGTGGGGTGCACACTTTGTTGTATCACACTGCTGTCTGTCTAGTAGTGGTCAGGGTGGAGGGATTGTAGGTCGCCTGTGTGTGACTTAACCATTCTTAAAGTCATTGGCAGCTGCTGAAATATCACACGTGGTTTACAGCGTTTCAAACTTGATCAAGATGTGAATGTTTAGAGGAAATAATACAAAAAAAGTTGGTTATTGGAAAACTAAATGTATGGAAGGGTTTGTATTATGAACCAGTA